TAAGCACACGCTTACCTGTGTGGGTAAGAGATAGCTATGCCATGCTCCTTTGAGTTGACCTGATAGTATTAAAAAGCAAACAACCTTAAATAGAACAGAATTAAACAAAGAAAGGTAAAGTCATTGTACAGATGGTCAGTTTATGTTCCAGGAGCTGTTTATGTTCATGTGCTGTAGTTTCCAATAGTCTCAAAGGAAGTAGTGTGTGGATTTTAAGGTTTAAGTGCTTATCTGGAAGCAGAAAGTAACGTTGAAATATGAAGCAGTGGTTCTTTTTGTATTCAGCATTAATGGTTCTATCCAAAATCTACCCATAGCAGTGCCTGAAGAGTTTGTGTGAAACTAGTGCAACAGCCTTCAATTCTTCAGGAAAAAAAAAGAAAAAAGAAACGTGAACCACTTGTCTTTTATTCATACCTTGTATTTCTTGCTATGTTTTATCTCTGATTTTTTAGCAATGGAAAATGCGGTCTACAGTGACTTCTTGGTGTGTTATTTAATCATATTTTGACATCTAAAATGGATGTGATTTTCATGCTCAAAAGGGAAGAGAGGTGTCAGCAGAGATGAGATTAAAACTCTGAAAGAATTTCCTCTTCATTCCCTTAGAATTGTTAAAATTTATTTGATCCATTGTGGTACTGCAGCAACTAATCTGTCCACAGTGTTCAGTTTCCCCTTTTGTTTCAAATTTGGAAACACTAGAAAACCAGCAAAAATCCATAGTTTTCTCTTTCAGTTGCTGGTAAGATTGTGTGTGTGACAACTGATGCTCAGTTACTGACATTCCTTCTACATAGTCAAGTGGTTGAAAGATGGAGGGAGCACTTCTGAGCATATCTAATACAGCGTTTTTGGGGCTTGGAAGCATGGGTATATTGAGAAGTTGTACCTCTGCAATAATTCAATAGCAGCCATTTTCAGCCTGCCCTTAACCAGCAAGGGCACAGAGGGGTCCTGCAGGGCTCTGCTAAATGTTTCTCACAGCTTTCTGTGTGTTGCCACAATTGATTATTTTAGAGGTTAAGTCAGAAGCTTTCAAACAATCCTGAACTTTATGGTAGCAAAGAATAAAACAGTATAGATATAGCTGGAAATTACCTGATAAAGTTCTTTGCAAGAAACATCATAATATTTAAAATATGTGCATTAATTAAATACAGTTGGTTTTGTATCCAAAATGCATGTTTCTGTCAGAAATATTTTTACATAGAACTGTGTTGTTTTGATTTTCCAATACATAACTGTTTCATTTAAATGTTTTTAGTAAAATTAACCCAAATTTCCTTGGTTTTAGGTTCAAATTATGAGTCATCATTTAAAACATAAATACTGATGTACTGAATCACAGATTGTGTGAAGAGTAATTTCAAGAGTAAACAACTTGGTTAGCTTTAATATTTTTAGAAACATATGTAACTGAGTGTCATTTGTGCATTTGAAATAATCTCCATTGAACATCAGATCATGTATAGTAAGTAATAAGTTATTTTCTCAGTGTAAGGTGTATATATAGGCTGGTGAAATATATATATATAAACAAATCATTTTCTTCCTCAATTAACTTCACTGTTTCATTTCAGTTGCGTATCTTGCAACTTACAAATTGTGGTGCACTCACAGGAAAAACAATTACACTTCATAAAACACAAATACTTTTTGAAAACTGTAGCATATGAGCTTGCCAAAAGTATTCATATTTAAAGTTCTGTTTGGAAGTTCATATTTCACTACTGGAATCAGGTAACTTCTCCGGCAGCATTCTATGTATTAAAAAGTTGGTAACAATCTAAAAAATACAGAAATGCAGCCTGCATAATTAAATTTTCTTCACATGCACAGTGAAAAATAACTGCCATTCAGAGATTTAAAACCAATATTTTGACAAAATAAAAGCTACAGGTTAGTATCATGCCGTGTTCCTGTTTTTGTTCTCAGGTTAACCTGAGATTTCCTTATGTGTGAACAGTAAGCCTATTCAGAAGCTGTAAATCCACCTGTTGTAACTGTTGGAGGGTTATTTGCTTTACTGATTTTTCTTAGGAAACCTGAGGATTCTTGTATTCTAGTGTCTTTGAAAAGAGGTCTTTGAATTACAGTACACTGCTTACACTGAAAATTCCAGTAAATCCATATTTCACTAGACCAGTCAAGGTAGGGCGCAGATGCTTTGAAAGATGTAATGAACTGCAGTGAAATAACCTTACAAGAGAGAAAGGTCCACGATCACGCTGACCTACAGTACCTTTATAAAGCATGCATTACTTTATCAGTTCAACTGTGTTGAATCCTGACACAGGCTTCAGAGTGCTTGGTCATTCAGATAGTAAGGGGAAAAATATCTGTGGGTATTTCTTCTCAATATTGGAGTGGGTTTTTTAACTTTTTTTGTTGTTTTTTTTTTATTTTTAATGTATTTTGTGATTGAAGATGGTATTCAGAGCTACTTAGTAATAATATTTCTCCCTCTGAAAAAATGTGCTTTCTCTTTAGCGTTTGTTATGTTAGAAGCTGGAAATTTGTAAAATAATTAAAGTGTATGTTGGTTGGGGTTTTTTTTGTTTAAATGGTACTTGGCTTTGTCTAAATCAGCATCAGCTTCTTGTGTTTTAATTAGATTGCAGAATTGCTAGGGTCTCATAATGTAATGAATGTATTTTTTAAACTTTTTTCAGATGAAAAAGCAATTTGGTGATAATGAAGCAATTACTCAGGAAATTGTTGGTTCTGCTCATGTGGAGAATTATGCTTTGAAAATGTTTTTGTATGCAGACAATGAAGACAGAGCTGGGCAATTTCATAAGTAGGTGAAAATCTTTGGTTTTGTTATCTGAATTGAGATACTAGTCAGGAAATTTGAAAATCCAAACTCTCTTTAGTTTGACTGGCTACAAGAATTGTGCTTTAATGCATTAATTTCTCTTTCAGAAAACTTATTTTGTTACTACATGTATGTCTCTAACTTCACACATTAACTGGTATCTTCCTTCTTGTGTTCTTTAGGAGGTTGCTCACCTATGGGCAAGGCTTCTAAATCCCGAGGCTAATACTGAGCTTGGCACCAAGCATGTTATAGTTTTTACTGTCCAGTGCTGTTAAAATAATTGTGATGATACATTATGTGGTTTGATTTACAGCAATTACTATGGCATGTTGGTGACGTTGCTAGGCTTTTTCTGAGATAATATACCATGTTCCTATTTCCTGTATTGAACATTCCAAACTAGAAACTTAAGTGCAGAACAGGTGACTAGCTTTAAAAAAATACTGAAAACTTTCTGCATAGTAGTCAGGAGACTAACTAATATATTGTTAAATTTAAACCTTGTGAAGTAAGTTCTGTGACATCAGATTAAAAGAAAAAAATTAGTGATGATTGACTTGAAATAAACCAGTATGATCTAAAATGCCAGCTTCTAAAATGTGATACTTAGAGACTGACATGATCAAGTTCTGTTTTACAGAAACATGATAAAGTCCTTTTATACTGCCAGTCTGCTGATAGATGTTCTAACAGTATTTGGGGAGCTCTCTGAAGAGGTAAGTGTTAGGGAAGTCAGTGTATTATCTGATTACTTTTTCTAGCACAGGTGCAAATTACTGGTTTAGTTCTGTAAAGTTGTTTTTTATAATTTGTAAATATGAGCTTCAAAGAACATAGGTTGTAATTGTGTAGTCAAATACATGTTAGTAAGTCATAAGTAATTGTGCTAAGTATTTAAAATAAATTTCAAATATGTGAAATATTAGATAACTGTTATCTGTTAAAAGATGCTTCATGACAGTAAGTGTCAGTTAGAAGTGCAAAGACTGATGATTACTGTGACACACATAGCATTACATTGAGCAAGTAGGAATGATTATAGGGAAAAATGATGCAAGGTTCCATGCTTTTTCCACCTTCACTTTTTTTACCCTGCAAGCAGTAACTTTAGTGCTAGTAACTGAGGTAGAGTTGTGTACAGTTTTAGTTAGAACAGATATATTTGGTTTTGCAACAAACCCAACTTTTAAAAGTGATAAGTTGGAAGAATGTGAATTTACTTCATAACAATGGCTTGCTATCTGGCTATTAGGACATAATGTTTTAATTCAAAAAATTATCTACTAAAGTAACTAACACGGTGCTCACGGGTAATTTTTCAATCCAACAAGCATTCCAGAATTGTCTAAACAAGATCATTGTAACTTTTATTAAGGCACACCAAAATAGTCTCCTGGTCTGTTTTAAAACAAACTTTTTGATTAGGTGCATAGTCAGCTGCTCTGTTATTCATGTCCCACAGAAGAATTGATCTCAGATATAGAGGAGTAGGTACTCTTAATAAAAAGTATTCCTTGTTCTGAAAATTAAAAATGAGGTTTCTTTGCTAAATTTACTGAATGAAAAGCTTATTTTGAAAATGTCGTAATATAGTTGGTAACTTTTGGAAAACAAAAAAAAAATTAGAGAAGGCTGCTACTGACTCATGAAGACAAGTTTCAAAGATTGTTAAAGGCTTTTAAATCAACAGCAGAAGGCACAGAAGGCAGATACTTGAGACCTAAAATAAAAAAAATGGGTATTGTAAATAATATGTATTGGGTGGTATGAATGGATTGTGACACAGTAAACAATGGATATTCCATATCTCAATATTAGAACTAGACAAAAGGATTTTCTGGAAGGCATGTTTTACAAGACATGTCAACTCAGTGAGAAGCTGTGTGATAACAGTATTATTTTCATTTGCCTTAATAGCAACATTCATACAGCAGGGCAGCCTTCCAAAAAGGGACAGCAATGCATATTAAAACAAACTAAAGCAACAAAATTTAGGTGCTCAGTTCTGGAATGATAAGCTTTGCAGTTAGGATGCATAATGACACACATCAAACAGTCTTTGTTCCCTTCTCCTCTCTCTGTCCAACATTTTAGTGGGGTTTTTTTGCCTCATTCTTAAATATGCTTTCCCAGAGGTGCCACCAGCCTGGCTGAGGGGCTCAGCTGTGTCCTGCACTGGATCTGCTGGAGCTGACTGTGTCTGGCAGAGGGCAGCCCTGGTCTCTCCTCACAGATACCACTCCTGCCACCCCTGACTGCCAGCACCTGAGTACAGACATCCCTTACAAAAGCATTTATCGTGAAATAATGGGGTATTGGAACGGAGAGGAGATGTACAGACTGTTAAATCTTGCGTAAAGTTCTTTTCTAAAAGTGTGTATTTCTTTCTGGATGTGTATTTCTGGATGTGTATTTCTGCATTTTGTGGCTTCTAGTATTTTGGTGAATGATAAAAGAATTCATCTGTAACACTACCTGGTCAGGAAGGGTTATAAAAATAAAGTATTTAACAGAAAGCCAGGTTTTCCAGTTGTACTTTTCCTTTCTGAGGTATAGTGAGTGCATTTTAATAATTCTGGAGAACATTTTATTTGTGCAAACAAGGACCATATCTTTCTCCTGGGCTGTGCAATCATCCTGGTGGACAACAGTGTATTAAATACGAGCAAGGGAGCTTGCTGGAGGTATCCAGTATAATGTCACTCTCAACTCTGTTCTAGATGGCAGCACAATAGGTATTGTGAAATACAATTTTGAATTTCATTTTATTAATTCTCAAAAGCTTTGGATATAAGTTTAGTCAGGACTTTTAAAATTCTGTCTACCTCAGTTTCCAAACCACTGTACCTGTGATTATTACTATTAAAACTTGAGATCACTAATACCTTGCAGGTGATGATGTTGATGTGAACCTGCATGCGTGCAACCTGCATGCCTTGTTCACTTGGACAAAGTACTGCACTCATCCTTCCACATTTCTCATCTCTGTTTATATTCAGCCTTGTTCCTTGAAATATATTGTCTCATAGCTGTCAGAACTGGTTATTTCTCTTACAACTTTTGACAAAGTAGTTGATTTGCATAGTCGGTTTAAGATTTCTTATAACAATTGAGAACTCTTCCTGGATTAAAAAAACACCATTGTAACAGTACCAGAAGATGTAAAGCGGCCAATCTTCATTTCATTTTTTGACATATTAAAGTTGTTGCTAAGAACAGTAAAGTATATTTTAAAAAATGAAATGGAAAATCTCAAAATACTTGAGATTCTGACATTTATATAAATCACTCATGTTTTGTGAAAAGAAGAATTTGTGAAAACCTAGTTGACACGTTTATCTTTAAAGGGGTGTCAAATAATAGCAGAGAAGCAGTTTAGGGTTATAATCTCTTCTCAGGGTCAAAAACCTGCTTATATTTCTGTTTTGAATGCATTAATTCTCAGAAGTGAGTGGTTAAAATGACTGGCCTTTTCCCTCCCCCAGAACATCCAGCACAGGAAGTACGCCAGGTGGAAGGCAGCATACATTCATAACTGCTTGAAGAATGGAGAGACTCCTCAGCCTGGGCCTATTGGAATGGAAGGAGAGAGCTTTGGTATGTGTTTGCCTTTTCTTTTTAAAAGAGCAGAGGGGCTCGGCCAGGACTGAAGTGGTGGTATGCACAGTTTTTCAGGGAGCACCCCACAGGAAGCACAGCTTCTCTGTTTAAAGTTCCATTCATGTTGGGCAGCCTTCTACTTTTTCTTCTCTGCTTCTCCTACTGTTATTTTTATTGGACTTTACTATTTTATTGATTTATTAAATAAAATATTTATTTTCTTTCTTCTGTAGTGGAGACTTATTATTTTGAATACGGCTGCTCTCTAAGAAGGCTTTGTCACCTTTGGACCAGAACAGGCATTTCTTTAACACTACCCACAGTCTTTCTTTTAAATCTGTTCTATAAAGTTGTGGTCCCTTTGCCAGTTTATCCTCCCTCAGGAGTTAAACGGGAATAGAAAATAGATTGATTGGAGATTAATTCAACTTCAAACACCTGATTGTGAGACAGGCCCTTCCTCCCCATATTATAGTGTGGTTTTCAAAATAGGTTTATGACTTACTCTTTTTAGAGAGGATTTCCTGCTGCTTTGTCACTCATCCCTCTTTTCCTTGTGTTTTTAGTTACTCTCTGTGTTCTTCCAGCTAACTGATTTTTTTGTACAGGATTCCTCGAGGTTACCTCCTTAACTGTTAGATAAAAGTGGTGATTTACAAGGCCACCCACATACCAAAATGAACATTTATCAGAACAGGTTGTTTAAAACCTCCCAAACTGTAATTTTTACTGTCTTCGATTTAATGCATTCAGACCTGTCTAAATTCTGCTGCTAATTTAAAAATATTAGTTCTTCAGTAAGAAATGTCAGGAGCATCCAGACCTTTCTCATTTAGAGCTTTTTTAAGACAGACACCACCACTATGAGCATGCAGGCTAGCCCCTCCATGAAGGGACAGAACACATACTAAGCAGACTGTCTTAGAAGAGGACACTCATCACATCCCTAACCTATTCTGAGAAAGACAGCTCCGTTTTCTTATGTCACTATGTGTATTTTTACTAAAAATAACTAAATAATCAAAACAGAGCTGCCATATTATTTCTAAATGTTATAATGTCAACCTGTTTCTAAAGTATAGATCCAGAAGCTTCACAGATAGACACGAGAATTAAATCACTTACAAAACGATTTTTGTTAAACTGTGAAACAGATAATAGTATTGCTGTTCCATGAACTGACCATCCTTTTCAGTTACTGACAAAAGCAAAATACATGCAAAAAATTGTGCATTTCTGGAATACATAAAAATAAAACTAATACGTAATTGTTAAATTAACTTCCAAAATATTTTCACACATTTACTTTTCCACTGTTTGCAGTTTTTCTATGCTTAATGCTTTATGAATGTTTAATTGTTTTTACATTTCACCAGTTGCTTTTAATAGCAATTGGTTTCGTTAATAAGGGGTCTCTTTGTTTTCCTCCCTAGTCAGTGCAGAAGCTTGAAATACGAATTTTAAATGTGAATCTCTTATGGAAATAGGATGTCTTTGGAATGGATTTTTTCATTATGCAAATTAAGTTAGACTGCTTCTGCACAATGACAATAACCTCTGTATAATTCTTCACATACCTAATGAAACAAGTAAGAACATTAAATGATTTGACATTTTTCTCTGAGCTAGTATACAAGACTTTGGCCTGCATAAATGCCACTTAAGTTGATGCTCATTTATCTCTTAGCTTAAACTTGAATTTAGTAACGCAAATTTTTCTGAAAAAAAACAATAAATCAATAAATCTGCAAGTGCAAAAGAGCTAAATCTAACTTGTTAAGTAGTTGTAGAGGTGGCTACATAAAGTTTTATGTTCATATGTATTAATACATATGATCCATATATTTACATGTATGCACACACACACATATATATACACACACACACAAGTGTTTGTTTCCATTCATTCATGTTTGAGGTCTGTACTTGGGTCTTAGGTGGATTTTGAAGTTTGAACCTGTCATTTCAAATATGTTATGAATAAGTTTGTCATTTTCTGCATATTGGTTTTATTTTAAACATGTCAACACATTAGAAAACTGGTTTCTTTTCTGGTTCTCAATCTTTTCATTATGTGATCTCACATTTTGAAGTTTTTTTCTTGTTCATCTTTGAAGAAAGAGGAGAATGGGCATGACCAACTATTTATAGAAAGATTAAACTGGTGTTTCTTCCAGTAAGGTATAGAATCCTATTCCACTTGGCAGATGCAAGCTGATTCTTTAGCAGAAGACAAATGTGCAGCAGAAGATAAAAAGTGACAAAGTAGCATGAATAAAAATTGTCTAGCTTACCACCTTTATCAGACAGTGAGCAAAGTATAAGGAAGTGGAAGGCAGGCAGTCTTACTCCTTCAAAGCCCACCTTTGTTAAAAAATACTATATTGCTTGAAGTATGAGTTTTCTGTTGTCTTCCAAATATGAACTGGAGAACATGGCATACAAGGTGAAGTTGAGTGGGTCTAAGGAGAGTTCTTAATGCTGTTTTAAACTACACCTAATGGGAGAGTGAAGAGAAGATCTAAGCAACTCTTCTTGGATGTGCATAGTGACAGGATAACAGGCAATAGACACAAGTTGCAACAAGGAAAATGTCAGCTCTAGCTGACCCTGCTTGAAGGGGAGGTTGGACTAGTTAATCTCAAAAGGTCACTTCCAACCTCAGCCATTCTGTGCCCGGAGCAGCCTGATCTATGTTAGCACTGCTGTGAGTGAGGAATTGGACCAGGTAACCTGCAAGGGATCCTTCAGCATTTTTATGATTCTTGAAAAAATAATTTAATTGTATATGGAAAAAGAGTATCAATGGGTGGAAAGGAGAGGGCCAGGTAAGAGTGCCTGAGGTTCAAATTTAGCCCAAAAAGTCTGAAAAGTGACTCTTCACAGTGTAATTTCTTACCATTTATAGTCTCCTTACACTAAAAACAAACAAACAAATAAATAAATAAATAAAATACATCATCACCATTTTTAAAATGAGAATGTGTACTAAACATCTATCCCTGTTTATTGTTAGCCTTTATTTTGCTAACAGTAAGCAAAAGTATCTAAGAGCCTGGATGGCAATTATAACTTCTTTGCAGTTTCCAGTTTAAAATACTGTTTGGGTATTAATACTCTAGAAACACTACAACATAAGTAAATTCAAATATTTATGAACAGATGATGAGTATGATACAATTTGATTTCCAAGCTTCCAGTTTATTCTTTTTATTATGCTTTCCATACCTAAAGAAGCCCTACAGGCTTAAACAGCAGAATAGCAATCTTACCCACTGAAATATGCTCCAGTCTAGGCACAGCTATATCTGAAGCGAAGCATTAGCAAGCTAATTTCTTCTTCAACATAGGATCTTTTTCAAGACAGTTTTCTTAACTGCTGGTGCGAGAGGCACTTATGATACAACTCCAGCTGCAACCATCACCAATGAGACAAAATTTTAACATCCTTATTGATAGGGAGCCTGCAATATCTGTAATTTGGCAATATCTTTTATTTGTTGAATTGTATTTCAGATAGTAAGAGAATTTCTCACTCTCTTTTCTGAGCAATGAAATTAAAAATACTTTTTGACGTTTATCTTTGGAAATTAACTCCATAGTGTAGATATCCATAATGCTTTACACAACCAAGACAATAATTTTATGCAAATTAATTTTTACTAGAAGAATCAGTTAAAAAAAGGTGTTAATTCTTGCTTTGTGCACCATAAGAAGAAAAGTAGCATTGTTTGAATGTATGGCTGGACCTTCCCCATTCCTTTGTGCTTGCTCATTTTCTTCCTCCCCTTGTAAGTGGAAAAGTCTGTTTAAACAGAGTGAAACTAGGTCTCTGTAACTTGACAAATTACCGTTTTTTTCCAAAGTGCTACTCTTTGTGATTCTTGAAAGCCATACTGTAACTCTTGGAGATGTTTTTACAGTAACATAGGCATGCTTTATGCAGTTCTGCTGTTGGATTTATGGATGCTTTTGTCATGTTGCCACTGTGGAAACTTTAAAATTACATACTTGATTTATTAATACAGTTGGAATATAAGTCCTAGAGTACACATAAAGGTCACTTAACAGTAGCCCTAGGTCATGCAACAAGATTTGATACTAATGGAAAAAAATTAAAAATGTAATTTCAAAGATGAAAAATTTCCTAAATGGTCACAGTATAGCCACAGTAAAATATATTACATGTCAGCACTTTCATTGCAATATTTAATAGGTATTCTACATTTATATTGTAAAATTCCAGGAAACTTTTCTAGTCCCAACTAGTAGAAAGAACAGTGTATAAAAAGTTGGTGGATTTTTGAAGTCCATCCTTAATGTTTTGGGAAAAAAATATACATATATGTATTTTTAAAAAGCAGTGTTCCTGTAGAACCTTACACTCTGCATGTTATAGCAACATGTCAAGCTAAAGAGAATTCATTATGCTGGGATCCAAGCATAGAGGCTGATGAGGTTCCAAGACAAGAAACTTGGCTGGAACTGAAGCAGTTGTGTCACTGTTTTACAGCCTAGCATTTCAGCATCCTTAAGCAAATTGCAAGGAACTTCTAAGTTATTAATTATTGATTTATGAGAAATTAGTTCTCTAATTTTTCTAGCATTCATTCCCTGGAAATGGGAATTGAATTTGTTTTTCAATAACATTATGGATGTTCTAACCACAGAACTTAAAAAGAGTTTGTTGACTTAAGCGTTCTTTTCCAGTAGCTTGAAATCCTTCTATTTAGCACTGCTTTTAAACTCTTCACGTATCTCAAAATTGTTCTAATACTTTAGTCTTTGATAAAGAATATTTTAAATATTTACTTTGCAGAAAGAATAGTTACAATGCTTTGATGACGTTTGGGCACTTTAAACACCTAAGAAGAGTTAATTTAAACAAAGCTACTTTTATGTTTAATACAGTTCAACATTTGCCAATTGCATAATGAGCAAATCAAACAGTTGAGCTTGATCTCTTGATATATATGCCTGATTAAAAAGTATATCTCCCTTTTGTGAATTTGACTCTTACAGGCACTGTTATTAAGGGTGTTCAACGCTTTTAACACTTTTTTTTCATTGCTTTTTTTGTTTATAACATTGCCAGACTTTTTAACCATTTGAGTTCATATCTTCCATGACTAGCATTGCCTACAGCACTGCACTTTTACAGGAGTGACTAGAGACCATGAACTATGCAGTCAGTTTGAAGCTGAAACTGGGAATGTCTTGAAGAGAAGATTGGGAGTATGGGGCAAGGAGTTACAGATATAGGATATGAAGTCCTAGTGCAGAGAGAGAGAAATCAGAATGGGGCTGAATAGCCAGATAAGAGCAACAGGAAGCTGCAGGGGGCAGAAAAAAAGGAATAAATGCATTAATGGTTTAAATCTGGGCAATTGAGATACTAAGTACAATGAAAGCATGTTTTTTCCCCAATCCTTCATTCTCAAAAGTGGCTTAGTAATTTTTACAACAGCTTTCCAAAAATACTAGCTTTAGGCAGGCACCCAGCGTGGAAAATCTAGCTTTATGGCTGCAATTTGACCAAGCTATAAATAATTGATAACAGTGTTACAAGTAAACTCGGGCAGCCTTACCTTCAGACAGCATGATGAGTGTTGTGCATAACTGTTTCATTAACCTTATGTACAGTACGTCTCTGTGATTATGTTAAACTGAATTTTATTTTCTGAAACCATTACAATATTTTTTTTAATTAACACCAAAGCCACTGAAAAATACAACATTCAACCAATAGCCTGTTCCTATCATTGCGTTACTATTTAAAAGGTAGCATATCCGGTATTTACTTTTGGATCTTGCCTTTTTTTTGCCAGTTTGAACAAATTTAATTTTACTTCCATGCATATTAGCCACATGATATTGCAGTGTGAGTTGCTAGCAAAAAATACAGCAAAGGGAAAATCTGTCACCTTAAGATATCTTTTGCCTTCCAGAAATCTGCCAGATGTTTGTTTGCATATGTCAGAAATAACTTCATAAAACCACAGCCATAATTTCTGGTTGCGGCAAGTGAAAGTAATTTTCACAAAAGTAACATACAAAAATTTTAGCGTGTTCTGTGTTTTTATATTAAAATTTACTAGCTGTACTTGACACTCCTGATAAAACTTTGCTTCTAGGTTTCTTTGCTTTTTTAGTACTTTTAAGTAAAGATTCTTGGTATTACACTGTGGATTTGGGAGATTTCTGAATTTGTTTATTCATACTTTGATTTTCTAAATGAAAGTAAACTCCTACAACTTTGCAATATAAACCAAAAAATATATTCTTTAATTGTGTATTTATTAAAGTCCAGTAAAAATGTCCTAATGACAATACTGTTGATTTTACTCTGCATTATAGCCTTTGTTGTAGTGAATAGTATTGTGAATTTGAAGTTGCTTAGTTGTTTTTGGTAAAGGTAGTACTTGAACTCTTTCTGTGAGGAAGAGGACCTTATATGGGAAAAAATTCTGATCTTTTCAATAGTAATACTTGTACTAGTAGACTGTTTAATTATTAAGCAGTAGAGGTGTTTGTGTAACACATGATCTTGTATAGTTGAAGATCAATGTGGATTTCATAAGAAAAAGAAGAAACATTTATTTTGCCAGCACTAGATGCATACAAGTTTTGTGCTCCCATATGTTTTGTTCCCTTTCAAGAACTGGCTGTGAACAAAGCCATTCCTGAAACTGTGCTTTTTCCACCTGACATTGTTGATACAGATCAACACATACACAGTAGAAGAAAATTAGCTTTTTTAAGCAGAACTTAATTCAAATTAAGGAGCAGAAATCAACCATATTCTAAATTAACTTAACCATATTCTAAAATAACTGGATCATTTGCTTAATAATATTGGACCGTTCGCCTTCAAAGCAACATTGCATAAACTAGACCAGAACATTAACAGCATGACTAGACTGAAAAATAATATATGGTTTTTGTACATGTTATGGGATATATTAAACTGCGTTGTTGTTCTCATAGCACATTACATACTCTACCTGTTCTAGATACAGTAATAACTTGGCTAAGCTGCATTTCGTTTTCTTGTTTGTTATTACTTTCCCAAAGTTCACCCTTTTTGTTATTCATTTGTGGTTTGTTTACTTGGTATGAGATGGAAGGATTGACACTGTCGTTCTTTTTACAAAGAGTTTGTAAGGCAACTACAGTTTTCCATATTCTGATTTATGTACATATTAAAATATGGATTACTGCATATTTGTAGTATCTTGTTCAACTATTGTGGTTGTTGTATATGGAAGTATAAAGATTGTACTAATGAGACAAATTATTTAAATTCAGACCAGTAATGAGATGATCCTTCAATTTAAGCAGAAGAGATCTTTGAAAGTGTGTGAGTTTCTAGTATGTTGCTTTTTTATTTTGTCACATCAACCATGGGTGGTTTGGCTTGATAAATGTTTTATGTCACACAGTGGTGGCAGTTTTTCTACTAACGAAAAATTGAAAGGGGGTTTTAAAAGAAAGCCTAAGTTTTCAAGTGTTTTTTTACAGAAGAGTTGCAGTAATTCCTATTTTGTGTCATCTTAGCAGATGCTGAAAGGGAAGAAGCAGGGTCATCTTCTCTCCATAGTGGAACAACTCAACCAACATCATCATCTACATATGAAGCTAACAACATACCAACTAGTAATTACACTGGCATACATATACCACCAGGTGCCCATGCACCAGCCAACACTCCAGCTGAAGTACCTCATAATACAGGTATGTCTGAATCACACCCAAAAAATTCATGCCTTTATTGAGAGGTAAATTCTAGCCCTCTTTCCATTACATATAAAGTAAAATAATATAGGTATTCTATGTCAGAAGTAACTTCCTAAATTAACATTGTAAAAATGCCATTGGAATTTTTTTTTTATGTTTTTATGATTTTTAAAATATGTAATTCATATTTTGGAGCATTGTGCCACAAGAGGTATATGGACTGAAAGAGTTATTGTTCCTGCAGACAGAATGTTTTTTTCTTCTCTAGAATAATGCTTTACAACATCTAATCTGTAAAGCACCATTTGAATTTTTCACTTGATAGATGAAATGATGTTACTTCATTTCAGATTTAGCTTTCCTGGTGCAGATAGACTGCTTCTTTATGTGGGAACATATCCAACATAGTGTTGAAAGTGTTACAACAACACTGTAACAGTTATGCTCCTTTTCCCATGCAAGTACTTCAGTGTGATTGACTTCAAACAGTATTATTAATGGAAATTTTGTCCCTACTGCTAAAGATATTTGCTTCTACATCCTTCCTCTTGTTCTGTGTCATTTTTGGACCAAAATTACGTTCTTAAAAATCCAGAGTTCTTCCCAGTTACTGTATTAATACAACTTTCTTTTTTTTTGAATTATTTGTGAATACAACTTTTTTACCTCACGTTACCTTTTTATAGTGATGCTTAATAAGACTAAAAAAATAAAAACTCTGGATTTCAATCCTGATGATAATTTCATTGTTCAGATAAATTTTTTATATTCTAGAACATACGAGATGTTTTTGTCACACAGCCTCTCCTTTTCTTTTACTTTCTCATTTTAAAAATACTTCACCCTATGAAAAGTTCAGGATGCTCTTTTTTTTTCAGCTTTATCAAAGGGAAATCCTTCAGATAGGTGGGGCTTTTTGGGTCTGGGACGGGGAGAGTGGTATTTTTTACATTTGGCCTAGGTAAATGTTTGTTTTTACCAGATCTGAAAATTATGGAATATGTACTTGATGGAATACATGAATTCTTTATATTACTTAGTTTTAATCCCATCAATAATTCCATGAAATACCAGATAATTTAGAAAAGTGATTTTTACCATCTTCCTACATAGCAGATGTTGTAGAAATAACTTTATGTTAGTCTGTTATGTTCTGGATGTATGCAAAAATATAGTTTTGGACCAATACAAATTAGAGTGTTTAAAATGTGAACACAGATACAAGAATGCTTCAGAGCATAAAATACTGTTTCTTCTAGCATCACCATTTCCCTTTTAAATCTAACTAGTTTTTTTATCCTCAGCAATTCTTTTCGAAGGAATTAGGGAGGAAATAGTTTGCAAGTGTGAGATGGCAGGCATGGAGCTTTAAAAATACAATGATGGAGACTGATACTAAAAGGCAGAATTTAAACTTCAAATATAAGGTTTACTCCTACTCTCTTTTAGTAGGTTTTCCCTAATACTCTAGGGTAACCAGTGTCTTTTGGACTAGTATTTGCTTTTTGGGTTTTTTAGTGCTTGAAATTAAATTTCTGTGAAATACTGTACTGGTAAAATGAATGACAACCTGTAAATTCTTCTGTATTATTTTATAAAACATTTGTAGTCTGAAGTGAGGGTTTAAAAATTATTATAGACTTTCAGAATCAGGAAGCTATCCGCTGCTTAATTTAAAAATCATGGAGTCATTAGGTTGACCTGTTCTATTTTCTTATTTTTTTCTACTTACTTTTAAAGTCTATAAATAAAAATAACACAAGTTTAATTTTTTGCACTGTTTTGTAGGAGTGACAAGTAACACCATTCAGCCTGCTCCTCAGAATATTCCTCTAGTTGATCCTTCCCTTTACAGTGCTCAGTCTGCAGGTAAGGTGGTGGTATTTTTATTGTCTCTACATGGACGTGGTGTATCCTGTGTGTCTCCCGTACACTGAAGGAAGGAGTTTGAGAAATAATGTCATCGTTATCTGAATGCTACTGATTCAGATTTATTTTTTTTAAAGGGACTTCATCTAAACGTTGTATTGCTAAGAGTTTAATAGTTCCTGAAAGCTTTGCTCCTGTGTGATTAGTGCTGTCTGACTTTTTTGAACCAATGAGCTAGCATTGTGTTAGGCTTTTTAATTATTTATGTTACTGCTTCTCAGGTGAGGTTTTTATATACTTAGCAAAGCCTATATTCCTGATGGCCTTGCTAAATTATATTTTTAGTAATTAATACACATTCCCTTTACTTAAAATTTCCTCTACAAGATCAGTATGTAAGTTATTTATTTACTTTGTTAAATAATCATGACATTCCAGTGGTGTTTTCTGTTGCAGCATAAGTGTTATGCGTACTTGTTGATTATAAGTAGTGCCTGTATTAAGTGAAATAATTTATAAGGTACTACTAATGATGTCATTTTGATGTACCATTTAATCAAGGCTTTTATCTTTTAAAATACCATCTGTCTTTGATCACTGATAACCTATATTACATGTATTTTATGTCTGCTCGCATGCATCATGCTTTGAAGTGCACACGTAAATGCTAACCTTAGGGAAGCCGTGGCCTGTGAAAGAGCAGTAACTGGCAATAAAGCTGGAATCATCCTAGATTCTAATTTGAACACTGATGTGCATTTGAACAAATTAAAAAGATAAGTTACATCTGTTTGTAACTTTAGTCTGATTGGTTTTGGCAATATAATGTGGATGTTGAGTGAGGAGGAGGTCTAGAAGTCCTGACAGGAAATCTATTCACATTCTACCCTACAGTTTATCCTCCTCTCAGGAAAGCTGATAGTATATGTCATTGATGTTTTAAGTTCCAGTACTAGATGCAGTCAAATGTTGCCTGTTAGGACTACTGAGTTTAGATAAGTGTACTCTTATATATGGTAACTTATGAATATTTGGTTAGATAATCTGTTTATTATCCTGTTGAAGAGGATGTCTCTGTTAAAATACCAGCTTTACTGAAAAAGCATTTTTGATTCAATGGAATGCTATAATAGGAATTCAGTATTTAGCTTGATTTTAGTCTGCTGTCATAAGAATGCTTAAGAATGTTTGCATCTTAATATATTAGGAAGCCATTTTTGTAGAATATGTCTTAAAAAGTTAAAAAGATAAATTAACAAAATTTACCTTTGATAGAGATGCATTAACCTTTGGCATTCTCTTGAAGAATAAAAGGCATATCCTTTTGTTTGTCTGGTGTATTTTTGTAATGTTTCATGTGGCAGTTAACTCATTTTTATTGAAAACAATACCTCAGACCTGTAGCTGAACCATTTAAACTTGGTGATAGTTTTTGAGTTTGGGGGGCTGTTGCGGGGGTTTTGGTAGCTCCTTAACCAAAACAGCTGAACGCTTTACTTAAGCTTTGCTGTAGTAACTCTGTAAACTTTGTGTTTTGCAACAAAGCGTTCATATTTAACCAGCTTATCGTGATCCTCTAGACAATCATTCTAATAGGTTTTTGGATAACTACTCTAAAAATTTTGGTCATCATTGCTCTTGGTTTGAATGTTTAATTCTGGTTGTCAAAAATGTCATAACTTTGATTTAAACTTTAGTTCTTCATTAAGTATTAGAAGTTCCATTATTTGATATCTGGGTAGCATCAGTGCATTGCTCCCTCTAGCCACTTACCTGTGATAACCTGATTTAATAAGTACATAAATATAAATAAAAAGGAATTGAGTTAATTAAGATACCCTGTGTTTATGAAAATTAATAACTACTATCCTGTAATTAAGAGATTAAGACCCTTGCTAAGCACAGTGATGAATCTCTTAACTTGATCTAACCTGAGTATTTGCATGCCTGCATTCCTACTCTGCACATCTGTTGTGTCACTACAAGTTTGAGTCTTGCAACAGCTTAAAGTGTTACATTCTTGTGAAGGAGTTTTGTAAAAGTGCACCTAAAGAGATAATACAGCTCATACAGATCCTTGGTTCTTGACATCTTGGAAAATATGCTGTCAGTTACGCAGGAGTTTGAGAGGGCATAAGGGATATGTCAATCAGCAGAGATACAGTAACAGTTTTGTTTGCATGCATAAAATTAAGAAGCTTGAGAGCAGTGGGAAGTGTTTGCCCTTGCCTGTCACCGTCCTGTCATGCATGCTTGGTCATTACCAAAAGCATCCTCCCTTCAGCTAGACATGTAAAAATAACAGCAGATATTCTTTCTTCTCATGTTGCTGAAGAATCCTTTTTATGACAACAGTACTCTGTTCCACAGTAGTCTTGTTCCCTGACCTGTAAGTAGATGCAGAAATCCCTGTATCTTACAACAGACATACTAAACTGTGGGACCCAGAAGCCTTCCCCAATTCCTGAGTTGCAATATTTTTATTAGGGCTAGAACCTGGCTATGTATTGAGGTTAGACTTTGAGATGCATTTTTCTTACGGTACTGAAGTTTCCTTTGGACAGAAAGAAGGGATCAGTGTTGCCCTCCAGTAGATCCATAGAGCTAGCCCAATGCAAAGTACACTTGCTCCATGATTTCAACACGATGTCAGCATCACAGAATAACAGAATTGCCTAGATTGGAAAAGACCTTTAAGTTCATCAAGTCCAGTCGTTAACCTAACACTGAACAGTCCTTGACTAAACCATGTCCCTAAGCACTATGTACATGGCTCTTAAATACCTCCAGGGATGGGGACTCCACCACTGCCCTGGGCAACCTGTTCCAATGCCTGAGAACCCTTTCAGTGAAGAAATTATTCCTAATATCTAATCTAAACTTCCCTTGGCGCAACTTGAGGCCATTTCCTCTTGTCCTATCACTTGTTGCTTGGTTGAACAGATTGACCCCCACCTCTGTACACCCTCCTTTCAAGTGGTTGCAGAGAGCGAGAAGGTCTCCCCTCAGCCTCCTTTTCTCCAGACTAAACAACCCCAGTTCTTTCAGCCACTCTCATAAGACTTGTGTTCTAGACCCTTCACCAGCATCCTTGCCCTTCTCTGGATGTGCTCCAGCACCTCAGTGTCCTCCTTGGAGTGAGGGGCCCAAAACTGAACACAGTACTCAAGGTGTGGCCTCATCAGTGCCCAGTACCGGGATGTGATCGCTTTCCTGGTCCTGCTGGCCACACTGTTTCTGATACAGGCCAAGATGTCGTTGGCCTTCTTGGCCACCTGGGCACACTGCTGGCTCATGTTCAGCCGGCTGTCAACCAGCACCCCCAGGTCTCTCTCTGCCCAGCAGCTCTCCAGCTACTTCTCCTCAAGCCTGCAGCGCTGCCAGGGGTTATTGTGGCCCAAGTGCACAACCCGGCATTTGGCCTTATTAAAACTCATGCAATTGGTCTGTGTCTATACTAATAAATTAAACACGCCTGTAAATATTTGACACTGAGAACAGCTGGCACAGAACTACTCAGATCCAGAATATGAAACTTTTAAACCTTCTAGAAAGGTAGTTTGTGAAGGCTTCCAGTATTGAATGATCTGTAGCCTGCTCTAACCACAAGTCGTGCCCAGGAATTGTTTGGGAAAGTGCTCCTTTGCATGGGCCAAAACTGTATGGGAGTCTGTTCCAGCAGTTTGACAGTGTAGACAGTCAAGTTTGAGTGCTGAGACACATTCCCTGGCACTATTGTATGTGCTAGTATAGGCATAGCCAAACAGGATATTACACGTATTCCTGCAAGACTCTTTCTGGTAGTAATAGCAAATATGTATTTTTAAATCAACTTATATATTTTCTTTCATTCCCATAACATGGTAGAAGCAATTTGATTAATACTATGATGAGAGATAAACTTCTGGTGCAGAAGAGTGGAATATTTTATCAAAAGAAAATTATGCTAAAGTAACAGTATTCCTTTGATCGTAGTCAGCATGAATCCTTCAATAATTGTCCTGTCCTGTGGGAACAGGTTTCAGAGTTTAACATTGACTTTTGAAAGTGTCAAAGCTTTTGCAATGAAGTATTGGTTAATGTCTCTGTCATGAGAATGTAGAGCTACACGGCAACTTTGTATAATGTGTGGGTGCACTTCTCTGGTGTAGTTAATTTAAAAAAAATATTAGCCCTAGATTTTGCTAACACTAAATGCATTAATGGTTGTGCTACACAGTTTTTATAAAATCTTCTTATATTACCACATGCTCCCTTCCACAGGTGGCATAGCATAGGGAAACCATTTGTCCATTCAAGTTGTGTGTATAATAATGTTTGATTTTCTATGCACAAAGTAGAAATAATAATTTGCCATTTTACGTGTTTTCATGATCTTAAGAAGAAATCTTTGAGGATTTATATTTCAAATGTCTTAAGTGCTTTAATGGGAAAAAAGAGCATCTTGTTTCAAAAATTATTTCAGTTACCTTTGTCATCACTGGTTTTATACACCAAGTTGGGTTATCAAAATGTTCTTAAATCAGCTACCTTGTATTTGGACAACTTCATAAAAAGGAAAGACATCTGATGGATAGAAAAGGATACCAAGGAGAAGCAGATAGATCGTATGAAATACATCTTGTATGAAATCGTGCTTGTTGACATTTATGGATTCCATATGTCTGTCACATTTCAGTAATAAATACAGCTACTATGCTAATAATTTCAGATTAACACAGAAGCAGATTTGTTTCAGGATAAATACTTTCCCATCTCAATGTTATTGAGATTTTTAGAGTTCAGAATCACATGATGGTTGAGATTGAAAAGGACCTCTGGAGGTCATCTCGTCCAACCCTTGCTCAAGCCAGGGTCCTGTAAACCAGGTTGCTCAGGACCATGTCCTTTGTCTACCCCTGCTCCTGCACTCTCCCCATGGTTTAATTTGCAGCATTGAAGGAAGAAGTTTGAGAAAAAATGTCAATGTTAATTCAAAAGACAGCTTTTGAATCTCAGCAAGGATGGAGACTCCACAACCTCTCTGGGCAACGTGTGCTAGTGCTCAGGTGCCCTTACAGTAAAAAGTGTTACCTCATGTTCAGATAGGACCCTCCTGCGTTTGGTTGTGCCGGTTGCCTCTTGTCCTGCCACTGGGTACCACTGAAAAGAGCCTGGCTCTGTCCTCTATGCACCCTCCTTTCAGGTATTTGTATGCATTGATAAGATCCCTCTGAGCCTTTTCTTCTCCAGGCTGAAAAGTCACAGCTCTCTCAGCTTCTCCTCATATGAGAGCTGCTCCAATCCCTTAATCATCTTTGTGGCCCTTCACTGGATTCTCTCTGGGATGTCAGTCTGTCTCTTGTACTGAGGAACCCAGAACTGGACACAGTACTCCCGTTGTGGCCACGCTTGTGCTGAATAAAGGGGAAGGATTCCCACCCTCCGCCTGCTGGTAACACTTTTCTTGATGCAGCCCCGGATGCTAGTAGCCCTCTTTGCCACAAGGGCAGGTTGTTGGCTCATGGACAAATTGGTGTCCACCAGGTCTTTTTCTGCAAAGCTGCTTTCTTTTTCCCCAAAGCTGCTTAAATCTTAGAATATGTAAGTTGAAGTCAGTTAGTAACTTTTGTGGTTATGCTTTTGATGTAAGTACAGACATTATAATTGTTTCACATTATTTTGAAAACTCTTTAAGTTTTCAAAACTTCTTTCAAAACTTCCAAAGCTGTGTTATTTCTGTTCTGCTTATCCATTGTGAGGTGCTGACTTAAGTAGGAGCTGAGGCCACTGAGCACATCAGAAGATCAACACCCTTACTGTGTAAACTTTGGTTTATAAATTTAATATTGTTATTTTTTTTCCCTCAAGTTATGTCATAAAAGCATCTGAAGTAGATTTCATAATAAATAAGGCTTTATGCCAGCAAAACATTAATAGGGCTCATACTGTAAAAATAAGATTAGACTGGTGAATTCAGGCTTCCTTCCAATAAATCAGTTGAATACTGGACTGATGCCTTGGCCAGTTTTTGAAGAATGATTTTGTAGTTTCTTTTGGCATCATAGCATAAAGCCACTTTGAGGGGAACTTGGTCTTTAATTCCTTAAAGATGTTCAGTAATGTGGTTGCAGATTGACCCCAGCTGCTTTTAGTCTGTGACTTTCTTTACGTTAAAAAATAACCTAAGTGTGTGCCTGTGTTTTTGCACTCCCTCATGCATATGTACTCACATATGTATGTATATTAAGAGATTTAATGTGGCTTCACTTATTCAGCAGTAAACTAACATACATTGCAATGATAATGAGCCCACCAATTTGTCATATTCAACAGTTACTTTGTGGTTATATTTATTTATTGAGGGGAAAATAAGTAGACTTCTAGAGTATATGTTTTAAACTGATGAAATTAATCTTAAGAGCACTTACCCTTCTGCTTTTTATTGAGGTAGGGTTGTTTTGAAAACCAGCAGACTAGTCTGGTTTTTAATATTCCCAAGTTTTCCGTTTTATTTGTTCAAAAGCTATTCTTAAATAGTAAGATTGGGGAAAGGAAAAGCAAATATAATAGACATTTTCTGATAAGAGCTGAGATTCTTTAGTAAATGTTCTCACAGTATTGCTAACAACAGTTTTATTTTGAAAGAAAGGGATCTAGCGAACTGAAATTGTACCACAAAAAATGCATTTAAGTATATTCATGTCTTTGCTTAAAATTAGAAAGCTGCACTTTGCTACATCTTTGTTTAACCAATTTTATATAAAATCTGTGATGCATTTTAAAATACATTTTTTCTTAATCTGTGAAATCTGTTCATTGCTTGTAAGATACTATGTGGGAAACCTAATAAATAAATACATAATTCTTTAGTATTGTATATAATTATTTATCCATGTGCATAAAAATCAGTCTTTTACAAGTTAAGTTATTCTCAAAGAACATGAGTAAAGGTTTTATAATTTATCCGTAGGTTATTGGAGTGGCATGGGATAAGCCCTAAAATTCTCAGTGAATTCATGGGTAGAAAGAGGTACAGTAACATAACTGTGCTTTATTTTATGCACACATCAGTGATGCTATTCGCATATTAAATCTTCTGCCAGTTAAGGCATAAATCCCTTCTGTGCTTTCTAGAAGACTGAATGCATGTATGTGAGTGTTACGGAATTTCCAATGTTTTAACTTATGTCAAGAAAATATTCTGATTAGTAAACAACAGTTAATTGTTTTATACTATATTATGAGAATATTTTTTGCTAGTGTTCTCCAGTATTACAAAAATGGTCGCATTTAATGAGATCAATCTTGTTTTCAGTCGTCTTGCATAAAATTGGAAACATAGGCATTACTTGGATAAAACAGAAATATAAAATGTGCAAAAACATGCCAGTGAGAAGTGCTTTTACATTTTGAAAAGTTATTCCAGTTGAAAAGGAGCAGTTTCTAACTTTGTATTATTCCTGAAGAAGAGAGCACAGTAATTATACTGTAAACACGAAAACCACTGTCCTTGTTTCTTGCAGGTTGTAACATAACAGCTAATTTATTGTTATAAAAAAGCTCTCCTTTGCCTTAGATGAAGAGCAGATCTTTCTCAAAGGTATTGATTTGCTTTTGAAAGGCACTGGGTCATACAAATACCAGTGTTTAGAAAGGTCCTCTTATTTTTTTTTTTTTTAAAGCCAACAGCAAAGAATTTAAGCATTATATGAATGAAAAGGGAAATGAACAGAAGAAACACCATCGCTTGGTCTTTGTAATATTACCACAAACATTAGCCTGGTTTTCATAATATTGCCACAAGTATAAGTAAAACACAGAAATCATGAAAGGAAGCCTCAGTAAGATTTCTTTTATAGTAACTTTGTAATACTTATGTTTTTGCAGGGGAAGTCCGTTTGACTCCAGAGGACTTTGCCAGAGCTCAAAAATATTGCAAATATGCTGGCAGTGCTTTGCAATATGAAGATGTGAGCACTGCTGTGCAGAATCTACAGAAGGCCCTCAAGTTACTGATTACGGGCAGAGAATGAAGCCTTTATCCAACATATTCATCTCTTTTGCCTAAAGATCTAACACTTTATTACTGTACCTGTTAGGGGAGTGGAGTTATACAGAAGTTCTTAATCCCATCACCCATGACAATGAAATCACTGTTTCAGTGTCAGATTAGCAATTAATGGTACAGTAGGAATCTCTGTTTTCATTTTGCAAATGGTGGAGCTAGAAACATGAATGCAGTGTCTTGATGTAAGCAAAATACTGAAGAAGGTACTGTGAACACTGTTCAAGAGTTAGAATTAATCTTGCAATGTTACCAGATTGGGAAAATGCTGCATCTGTAAAAAAGTTCAGCATAAGAATGTTCTGTTAAAATTTTTACTCTGATTTTGTTATTTCAAACTATTATTTAATAAGTATGATAGCTTTAAAATGGTAACTAAGTTTTCCTCCTGAAAAGAGAGCATGTGGGAAGGCTGACAGATCCTCAATGGGAAGGACTTTTTTCTATACATAAATTATTTGGGTATTATCCAAGTCATAAGTCAAAGTTGAGGGAGACTTGAGGACGTTTGTATTTCATTTTAAAACATGCTGGAAAAAACATCTCTTGATACTTCAGAGAGAGTAATTTTGATGGTGTTCCAACCCAATTCCCCCACAACTATATGGACTGCTACACGTATTCTTGATTATTGGTTCTTACTCCTTCTGTGTGAACACTTATTATTTTGTATATGTATGGGTAATTAAGATAAAGTACTAATATCTATCAGAGAAGATCCTGAAACTGGAGGCAAAGATTCTAAACAACATGAACTTTTAGGGGGATTTACTTCATAGCTGTTCCATCTTTTTAAGAGGATATTAAAAAGGCCTGTTCTTTAGCCATTAAAGCAGTGTAGGTTCATCTCTGGTATTAGTGTCATAAAGCTTTGTACTTCCAGATAATATTCTTCCTGTCTGCTTTGTTGTGGAGACTTTTTGGACTTGGGATTTAATTAAAATAACTTGTAAACTGAATTTTGAGTCTTTATGAGGTCTGCCTTTGCAATTATAGAGCTCTTAATTGTTAAAAATCCATCTATGCTGTTTAAAAGAAAGAATAAGTAGGTTTTTAACTGATGTGACATAATAATTGAGTACACCCTAAAGCATGGTCTGATTTAAGTAATAATTTTAATGACATATTTGTCTGACCTGTATTTCTTTCCAAGCTGCCGGATCAAATCCATGTCTTCCTTATAACTGCACTGTTTTGCAGCAACTACAATAAGTCTGGATGTTCAAAGCAAAAAGACGAGGAAAAGAAAATCAAACATAAGTATGCATTAAAGTTTAGCTGGTCATATCCTTTTTAAGAGTGTAGAGTCTTTGACAGCAGGGTTGAAAAGGGTAGTATGAAACTTGTAAATGTATGCTTATGCATTTTAGTTGACTGAGATTTCATAGATAAAGCATCTGATATTCTGTTGCTTTCCGATACAGGATAGCATGCTATTCTGGACAGTGATTTAGATTAGAAAATTCTAATTGTTTTGGGAAATTTAGAATAAATCAGTCTGAAACTTTTTTGACAGTAATGTTGTACAGACCTGGACAATAACCCTGTGTTTTGTACAGTGCTTCATGCAAGATAGATCTCTCACTTCAGTGTCAGACTGAATTACTGTAAATTATTTAATGTATATTATTGTGGTGTTACACTGTGATTGGAAAAGCTGCTTTTCAGTACAAAGAAAGATGCAAAACATTGATCCAGAAATGATCCATTGTAGAAATATATATACATATTGCATTGCTATAAAAAAACAAAGGTTGCTTTCATTTGGGGGTCATACCGATATTTACTAATACCAGCTTCAGTCCCCAGCACTTGAAGAAGGAAAGACAGTTTTCCTGTTTCTGTTTATAAAATAATTAAAAGAACTTTGGGGCTTTTGTATTACATGGAAAAGAAGCAAGCTATGATATCATACCCTATTAATTTGAGGCTTTTTATTAAATTTTTTTGGAGGCATGATTCAATTGTATGAAATTGAAGTACATAACTAAGAAGGTTGCAAATGAGTATTTAAGTATTTCTTAAAGTGTATAAAAGATTGTCTGTTGGCCATGATTATGTTGAACTTCTAGATTTCTCTAGGAAACCAGGGAATCATCACTGGAAAAGAGATAAGCAATGAAAAGCCATAGGCAGTTATTTTGAGTGATCATTTACAAATGTGTAACTTCTTTCTGCCTAGAAAGAAATTAAAATAAGTGTCTCTGAGGGGAATGGAGATGAAAATGCTAATACAAAACTTTTAAGAATTTCTTAGAGAAGCTATCGGGATGTTCTTTCTGAAAATAAATTAGTATTTAGAAGAATTATTGTATAAAATTGTCATTAATTCTGTAAAATTAAACATATCTTAATACCAACCTTCAGACCACAATACCTGAATTAGCATATTAAGTTGTGTTTTGCATAAAATTATTTTGCTCTGATAATTTATTTTTTAATTGAGAAATTTTGTAACAGCTTATCAAACCATATTTGAAGCCACATCTTTAAGTTACTAACATTTGATGCAACAAACTCTGAGTATTTATCATCCAAATTGGTGCCTACAGTAAATTATAGCAAAAACATTTCCATTCCATTAAGTACAACCTCTGGGACAGCTTTATACATGGCAGATATCCCAAAAGTAAAAACGAATGCTACAGAACAGTTAAAAAAATGTACATATTTGAAAATGTCAGGAGAATGTAGGTAGATAGTCTGTAATTATTCCAAATCGGAATTTGTGGTAGGCACTGGAATTTATGGCCCCATTGTTAAATATCGTGTGAGCTTTGTGTCTGCTGATTCATTTTACAGCCGCTCTGAATGATAAAATATCAACCCATAGCTCCTCTTAAACCAACTCCCAACACATATGAGTACAGTATTAAATAAAGGACAACGCCATTTTTGTTGCGTGCTACAGCCAACAACTCTCTCTTCTTCAGTATGATTGCTGCCTACATACTTGTCAGCCTTTCTCCTTTAGGTTATGAGTTCCCAGTCTTCTCAGTCTTGCTTAAGAAAGGAGAAAGAAGCATTTTCTGTCAGATATTCCATGTTCAGTTTTGCTACTTATGTAAGATAGAACTATAGTAAATCTGTTCAAAGTTTGTTACTTAAAAGGCTTTTAGTATTACTTAATGTTTTTGCAGTTCTTTATATTTTGACCTCTCTGCAGGGCAAGTTCTATATTATATTTCAGGATTCCTACAAAAGTCTTTGAAAAGTGTCTTGCAGAGCAGGTCATCGTTTATGAAATGGTGGAGATTTTTTCAAATGTGCACTAATTGGATTTAGTAATTCTGGAGGTGATGTTCTCAAATTGTTGCAGTCATTTCAGGGGAAATTTCTAATGATGTCCCTTGTAAGTGAAGCACAGACTTAAGTATGATCATATTCCAGAATGCAATTGTGATTGTAGTATTTGATACTTACCTATGAGAAATTAACAACAAAGAAACTTACTGTCTGAAGTAGGATTGTGGGGATGTGGTGGTATTGTGTGTGCAGACAAATGTGTCTATGCATTTATAATATAATGCATGTAAAGTCAATGGTGGGCTATAAGAATACCTTCCACAAAACATAATTAGCACCTTGTTTCCAAGTACTGGAAAATGTCAGATACAAATATATATATGTACTGCTGACAAATGTAATTCTTATTGTTAAACTTTAAATGCACTAGTACAGTTCCAAAAGTTAGCTTTTGATTGTGCAGTATTCCAGATGAATGATCTTTGATTTTCTCCTTTTTCATGTCAGCAGTAAAATAGGAGCCTGGTACAAAAAGAATGAGAACACAAATTTAGAGGAAGTTATGGTTTAGATTTACAAAAAGAAAAAAAAAAAAAGAAAGATCAAAGATAGTTTCTGTGATAATGTTCTGATTGAGATTGGAAAGTGTCTTTCTTTATAAAGTATAGTTCTTGCTTTCTTTTGAAACGTCTTTTGTTGTGTGATTTATGGAACTAGAGCCTAAGCCTGGATATCTGGATTAGGAAAACCACTAGTGCATCCTGATACTGACAGCAAATGTTCTTCACAGTCACCTCAGAGTACCTATTTTCAAATGTTGGAATTTTATCCAAGTTTGTTGGGAGAAAGGAGCAATGTTTCTTTCCTATTGCATCGCCACGTTTCAGTGCACAGCTGTAGTAAAAAGAGAACCAGAGAAAACATAAATTTGCATTAGATATTTCACTGTCAGCAAGAAAAGAATATTATGTTGCCCGCAGAGCTCTTTTTGGCTTACAAGAGTATTGTAACAGTCTGATCATGGTGTAATTCCTTCCGAATGTAATGCCTTAAATGGTCTCAGAATAGTAACTTTTTAAATAAGAGCATTGAAAACAGAATTGAAAGAGAGTGGAGGCATATGCCGGTGGGAGGGGGAAGAAATCGCACTCTCTATAGAATAAGAGGGGGCACAGAAATGATTGGAGAAGAAAATTGAAGAAATACTTAATCCCATATGGGATGGGAGCAGGGCAGTGACTGGAGTGAGTTTAGAATTGTTGGCTGATTTTAGAACCTTGAAAGAGATGAGAAAGAAGCTTGAGCTTAAGGCAAAAGATTACAGGAAGATAGGAGAGGTGAGGAGGAGTATTAGAATGACAAAAAAAACCCCTTTTTTATGGCAAACTGGGAAAAATGTGAGTTATAGCAAAGGGGAAAGTTAACCTCGTTGAGGAAATGATAGAGACTAAGACTGGCTCTAAAAGTGAAGAAAAAAATACACGTTGACTGCATTCTGAAAATGGAGAGGAGCAGATATTCTCATCCTTCGAACCTTTGCGCTTATCTAATATGTTATATTTATTAAATAACTAGAATTGATTTGATGTGACCTTTCTAGAAGACTTAGGAGACTGCAGAAATAACTGCATGGTATCTGCAAAGAACTAGAGAGATCCGTGTTTGTCCGTAAAATGCTGTCTTCTGATTCTGTGCTTTCCTTCCTGTTTCGATTTGCCTCCCCTTTTTCACTCTCCGTATTTATTATCCATGTTCCCATAGCTAGAGGGGAGGTTGTTGTGGCTGAATACAATGCTAAGTATGAGTGATAGCCCACATGTTTAGACATTTTTGGGTAATTTGGGAAGATTAACAGGTCTGGGTTTTACCCGGTATGTGCTATGGAGGAAAATGTAGCAATTGTACTTCCCTCCTAAGTTTCCGCTTTGGCAGCAGTATGGCTACAGTATTTAAAGAAGGATATGTGGAAATCAGCTCTACTCA